AGGGGGGGAGGGGGGGAGGAGGGGTATAAGACATACGGTTCCGTAGGCGGCTTTGAACATGTTCAATTTGCCCTCGGTAGCTGCCCATCCATCTGCAGGAACAACACCCTTCAACACCTCCTTTGTGATCTCCCATAACTTCTCATGTTCAGCCTTGACCAACAGAACAATACGGGTAGTCTGAGAGTTGAAGGAGGAAGGGACGTGAGTGAGAGTTTGCTTGATGATATCTTGAATCTTGGAGTCAGGAATGGGAGAGCTGTTGGAGAGAGGGTAGATTGAGCGTCTACCAGCGACGGCGTCGAGGAATGGTTGAGACATGTTTGCTTCGAGTTTGCGGGTAGAAGATGAGAAGGAGGAGTGTTTATTTGGGTTGCAAAGTAAAGACGAGAAGGAAGGTGGGATGAAGCGTCTTATATCCTTTCCACCCACAACCCCGCGGCTGGTGAATACAGACCCTGTCGGGGTGTTGGATCCAACAATCCGTCGACCCAAAAAAGACGACATTTCTCTCCAGGATAGCGCTACTAACAGCGAGAGCAGGAACCAAAAGAGGGGGATTTGCATGTGTGTGTTGTATTCTTAAGCTTTGGGCGGGTACTCGTCTGGAAATGAAATGCTTACACACGATCTCTGGGACCTATCAAGTGCTTAGAAACCTGATTCGATTTGTGGGATGTCCCGTTCGAGCTTACCTTCCAGTTCGTAGGCTATCGCCATCACCGGTAGAATTCACCCAACTGTACTGTCCACGTAAACTCAACCCTGAAAACCCCACAATTATCCCTGTCACACTTCGGTAACTACCTATTGGTTCCAAGAATCCATGATGGATATAAAACACGTTCCTAATAACAAAAGGTTGCTTATGATAATCCACATAAGCAAGTTGTCAAGCGATTTTTAAGCAGCGGTGGGGTTTACTTTAGGTATAGCGCGGTTCTTTGTATCATTGGTTGAATCCCGCGCTTCGTCAGTCATTTGTAACGATGTGGGGCTGCCCCCTCGTCGTTGTCGGTCTCCCGGCACGTGGCAATATTTGGTTTAATAGGGATTTAGGTGAAGGTAGTTGTGAATATATATGCAGGGTATACAGTAGTGAGGCCAGTTTTTGTTTTATGGTATATTCGGCTTTGAGGACTCAAGTCTAAATGTTTGGAAATGGGAGATGATCACGTGAATAATTCGCTTGTCAAATAATCGAGTTGCTCCCTTATTGATGTTCTCAGCCTGGGAAAATTGAACGTGCTGGTTTGTTGCTTTATCTCCATGAAATTCCTTGTAGAATACACTCTCCAATAGAGAGTCCCACCATTGCCATTCAAAACTGCTTGATCCTTTTTTCTGAGGTCAACAACTGAACCATTCATGAAGCAAAGGGTGACATCGTCTCTCTCATCAGCTCATCCAAATCCACCAAGTTCGCTTCACTTTCATTGATGAAATCCTTTGCCACTGCAGATAGGATAGTAATTGGTAATCCTAAGACACGGTTGTTCCAAGAGCCAGGATCCTCGTTCATCGCATGGAAGAGCCTCAAATAGCGACAAACATCTTGTCTTGTATCCCCTTCAAACCAATAATTCCATAGGAATGGTTTCTCAAGGTGAACTTTGGTGCTGAGGGAAAAGTCTTGGCTGCGCAGACTCTGGGGTTGGATAACAATTGAGAACTCCCTGAGATGTGGAAATGGTCTGTTCGGACCTGATAATCCCCAATGAGCATAAAGTGTTTTTTGTCCGCTTTTTTCGCATTCAGCACGGAAGAAATGGATCGACCAAGCCATGTAACGAAGATTTCCAAGTACAGGAAATATTTCCTGCAGTATTTTGAGCCCCGTGAGGGAAGAAATGTACGAACCCGTCCCTATGTAAAAGGCATCGATCCGAGGATTGATATATCCCATCCGTGATATTTGCTGTAAACAGCCATACGGTCCTTCGTCATACCACCTATCGGTAGCCTCTGGTAGAAATGGATGCCACTATTTCAATAGATGGCCTCTTGATTCCTTGTTTGCTCGGAGGAGTCCAGAAGAGGGACCGTCACTATCTACCTCGTATTATAACTGATGTGTAATGCGGCCGGTTGAGACCTGAATAAACCTAGCCTCTGGCATTGCGAATTCCAATATCGCCAACCTAATTTCGATCGGTAACTTTGGGAATAAATGGAAGGTCCGAACACCATCATCCTCGCCTATTGACTCAGTCGGTAACTTTGGAAATAAATGAAAGGTCCGAATATCATCTTCGCATATTGGCTCGGCAAGAACTTCTGATTGCGAAGATGAGAACATGAAGACTTGATCTGGTTTTACACGCGTGACTTTCCTCCGTTTCAGTATAGAGCCAATTGCTAGACAAAAGTATCTCCGCAGGTCTATCCAAAAGTCAGCTTTAATTGTTTAAAAGATCAAAGAAAGTGAAGTCACGAACCACTCTCGGGTCTTGGAGGAACCAGCACACTTCACTCGCCTGGTTCTAATTGTCGCAGCGAGAATGAGGGTAACGCAGTGATTAAGCTTCACTTTCGTTGTTACGAGGTACCTCTTCATGGAAGTTCTGTGCTGTTGGAGTTGCGCTCAAGGAGTGTCAGGGGATGCTACTCGACACGATAAATTCGCCGTATGGATGATCAAAAAGTCGTGCTAACAAAAGGCAATCTCACCACGTGGTGAGATTGACGTTTGTTTGGTTGTGGCAGATGAGGAGCGTCGCCGCAAAGTCGCACGTCGCGAAACCCTGGAAAGTGTCGCGCAAAGGTTTATCTGCAGCATGAAAACAGGCAACAGCCGTTGTCGAGATCTTGGGATGGTATAGATGGTTGTGTGCTTCCTGCAGGACAAATTCAGACATTCCTGGCCCGTGCCTCTACTGTACGAGCGTACGCCACCAGTACTCGAGTATAGACAGTACAGTACCATCTCTTACTCCGTAACTCCCTGGGAACTGGTAGGCAGGAACGCCTAATTCGGTTTAGCAAGTAAGCATTCGAACAGTTTCGGCGAGGAGTACCTAAGCCCAAACCAATTTAAGAAGTTCTGCCTACCAGTTCCCAGGGAGTTACGGAGTAAGGGATAGTACTATCTATACATACTGGTGGGTATCTCATTTGCACCTCAAAGGGTATTTAAATGCATTCCGAAATGATGAAGATAAGGGGGGAAATAGATGGATATGTATATTTTCATCCTCATTTGCCAACCTCTCATTACCATCATCATGATCAATTATCTTACCCCTCCCCCCTAGAGTCCCAAGAGACTCAAGATCCAATTGCCCGAGGCAATTGGTCCTTTTGCCCCCAAAAGTCTCTCATCCTATCCCATATCCACACCCCAAAAAAGAGAGAAGAGAAAGAGTTTCATCTCCTTAAATCTCCCAAGAGACAGAGCCAAAAAAGGAGAACAGCAGGTCGCCCACGCAAAAATCTCCCATCCATCTAACCCGTCCCCGAACCCCCAAAGAAAGTTATCAACAATCCCCAATTCCATCTCCACTTCCCACCAAAAAACCAAAAAAAGAAAATAATGGGTAACATCAAAACCACCACCCCATTGCACAACCCCCCAAAACAGAGGGAAAGATCAAATGAGAACCCCTTCTTAAACGCCAACCCCAACCCATGATCAAGAACGTTCGCCAAAATGCACCGTCGTAAAAAAGAAAATATTCGCAGAATCGCAAGAAAAAAAAGTGACGCCGTAAAGAACCGAGGAAACGGTATGGTGTAGTGGAAGGTTGCCATGGTGTCCAAGGTCGAGAGAGAGAGAGGGACAGAAGATCGCAATTTCATACATACATACAAAATAGACGTAAAGTATGTGTAGAAAGAAGACAGGCCAAAAGAAGAGTTGACTAATAAACTCTCTAGCCCACAAAGTTGACGTCTCCAGGTTGAGGTTCGGGGCCCCTAAAAATGTGGAAGAGAAAATCTTAGACAAGTATGATCCAATACGCATAGAAGAGAGTAAGAATAAACAGAGGAATCGTCCGAGAGAGAGGAAATTATATATGGACCATGAGACGGGCATGTCGGTCATAATTACCAGGTCTCTGCAACATATTGTCCATCCTTCTTCTTGATATCCCAGAATTTCTGAGCCTCTTCTCGACCCAGGTTACCCTTTTGTACAGCGACATCGATCAGTGCATTTTCGACTCCTTCGCCCATGCCTTGGCTGCTACCGCAAACAAAAACTCGACCGTCGAGACTGTTGATGACAAACCAGACTAGATCGGCTTGTGCGCGAACCTCGTCTTGAACATATTTTCCCTTGCCGGAAGCTTGGCGACTCTCGACGACCCTCTTAACTTCATCCTCGTGGACACCCCATTCACCAGAGTAGATTTCATCCAGTAGAGAATCTCGAACTCCTTGAAGAACCCATACCTTGTTGGCACAGTTGGCCATCTTCAATCGTCGTTGGACAAATCCTCGGAAAGGAGCGATACCAACACCTGCACCAATCAAGAGCATAGGTCCATCGGGAACGAATTCTTTGGCTAATGGATTGGCCATCAGACCCTTGAATATAGGAACTCTCAAATCAATCTTCTCGCCCTTTTCGTGAGCCTCGATGAATCTCTTGGCTTGTCGTTCAAAAAATCCACTACCATGACCAGTCCTAGTTCCCGCACGCCAATCACTATCCTGGTGAATTGTAACAGCAATCTCAATGAGACGTGCACATCCAGCTCTTGGAACACAAGACTCAACGGGATCGTTGGATAGCGAGTAAAATCTTGCCTTGATATATTCGAGGTGGGCTAAAAGTTGATCAAGAGGTGGCTTGCTCGATGGGAATGCGTGGAGAAGTTGAACCAAGGTCATATGCGGACCAGTTCGAAGACTGCAGAATAGGTCTTGACCATTAGCACTGCATAGATACATTAACAGCTTCTTTTCGTCTTCATCCGATGCATACTCGGCCAAAAAACGAATTAGTTGTTTGGTTGGGTAATATGATTCGATATCCGAGGTCCAAGTAAGTAAATCGCGTCGGGTAGTGATGAGCTCTCGTGGCTTCTCGCCGCCCCAGACCGTTGGCCATCTGCCACCACCAGTCTTGAGAAGAACAGGCCGATCACGAAGATGTCGAGGAATGCATAGTAAATCCATCAGTTCCTCAACCATACCGGCCTCATTGGGAGCCATGACACCAATTGCCCCTCCAACCTTAAAGTCACCTCCATCTTCGACTGGATAATCGGTGATATCGAGTTCTACGTGGTACGTCCGCTTCTCGGCGCCCGGCTTCGTGAGCTCGCGTGCACTAAAGAGTTTCGCGGAATAGACGTTATAAGGAGGGTGAGGTTGTACAAAGTTTGGTGGGTGGATCGAGGTGTCAATCTTATGCGACTCGATGCCATGTGGGGTAAAATCGACCGAACCATCTCTTGCCTCGGCTTCATTTTCCAACCCAATTCCGGAATCCGCGGGCGATGGGATGGACGTCGCATGTTTCGTTGATAACAATTCCACGGTATTCTTTGGAGTCACTTGGGGAACGCCAGATAATCTTGTAGGAATCAAGCCGACCTCCAACTTGAGGGCTCGATATGCGTCATTATCGGGTAGAGGGACACGTTCATAGGTCAATTTGTCCGTGTTGGTAATGGCCATACAACATCCGCCACCACAACATTTTTCGGTGATGCTGGTCGTCGTTGCCCCTCCGATAATTTTTTGAATATCTCTCGCACTCTGGGAAATCAATTTGGTGGAGGCGCGTCGACGGCGAGCGACTGGCTCTTCGGGTTCATCAAGCGAGGAAGTGGACGAGTATCCGAGCGATGGGGGCATGGAAGTCGGAGAGGAGGGAGTTGTTGGCTGTGCGGATGCAGGCTCTTCGGGAATGCAATGCGACGTGGTCAGCGTCCGTAGAGCTGGTTGAGGACGTGAGAGGGTCGACATGATGGCGGTGGAGAGGATCGCACGTCGTCATAGAAGCATGTACTGTTGAAGAATGTCTGGGAGGGTCGACAACAATTTCTTTCTATGGTCGGTTGGCGGGGTTTGGGTGGAGGTGTGCTATGACATATACACACGTATGAAGAGTGAATTGGGAGTTTGTGACAGCAGAAGAAAGTCGAACCGACTCAATTCCCTTTTGACGTATGGAGTAGTTTGGTGTGAAGCTTGGTCAGTGAATAGACACTTCAAGCCAGGTGGGCCGTTAGTTAGAGACGAATTCCAAGGTGGCGGATATTTTAGTGACAGTGCCTGCTTCTGCTTTGTCGGATCCGATTGAGGTGTGGGTGGGTTTGGATGTGGCCAGTTTGTGGGGGGGCCTAGATTAACCTTGGTGGGACAGCCGAGGACGGAGGTGGAAGTTAAGCAGAGATCTCACTACCAAGTACTCTAGATCTAAAAAATAGCAGAGAGAAGAGAGAGGAGAGGAGAGAAGTGGAGAGAGAGAGATTGGAGTTGAGAGAAGAAGTGTGAGAGTGAGAGCAGAGTGATATATTTCTAGTAGGTGGTTCCCCTGAGATCTTTATCAGATCATCGCATCAGCATTTCATCCCCATTCCTGAGCACCAAGCACAAGCAAGCCGACGTCAAGACCAGGGCCAGGACCAGGATGCAATGACGGGGATGCGATGCGGAACACGACTACGGCTGGTAATCAGATGGCATTTCGCTCAGCCAAATTGTCAAGGTAAAGACTTGACCTCGCATATCTTCGCATATCCTATCCCCATCTTTTCCGTCGTCTGCGCCGATGCGATGGCATGTCTTGGAAAAGTTTCGTGATGAGCTGCGCCCCATCCCTATTTGGCCGAGTTCTGCGACTCCAGTGGCTTTGTTGAATGGTGCTGTGTATATATATATATATATTTAGGAACCTCTATTTTGGCTGCATTGTATTGTCTTTATTTGGTGTCTCTAAGAAGAGAAGAGAAGGATTACTCGAGTACAGCAGAAATAACTTAGGATGACACCTGCCAATTGTCAATTGCTTCATACTTCCACATTGCCATCCTCCCATACTCTACAAAACAGGCAAGCACTAGGTAGATACAGCAGCCACAACTCCAAGAAGAAAGACTTCCGTCTCCCAGTTCAGCCCGTCCATCCCATCCATCCCGTCCCAAAATTGACAACCATTCGCTCATCATCAATTCACAATCCACCACAAGAATTTGTCGACGCTCACTGCATTATTACATTAAGATATTAAGCAGTTTCCACAGCTTGCTTACCTACAATGTCACCCCATCCCAAGCCACATCTCATGATTAAGAAATTCTTCATTACACATCCATCACCAATCGCACTACTACTTCGCACACTCAACAATCCTATCTCTCACGTCATTGGTTATGCCATAATCTGCAGCATTTATTCAACAATTCGGGGTCTTCTTTTATCCGTACCGTACATCTATTTAAATCCTAGGTACTCCGTACCAAAGTACGAAGTAGTATCACGAGAACCCACGCCACGTCCCACAAGATCTAATCAGATCATCTTATCCATACCTAGCCTACCCTCGAGCTACCTTTGAAGTCTCACAGAGTACTAGATCTTCACCGCCAAAAATAAGCAAAAGCATCCAAAAGTCTCCCATCGGACCATCATTCTCAGCTCCCATAATACCCATCCCCTATCCACCGAGACCCAATAAAAAAATCCGGATCTGATAAGATGAGATGTGTTCCCCTTCCAATTTAAATTCACCTTATCAGATCCTAATTTCCCGCCGCTGGCTAGGTTTATTCCCGGACCTCCGAAATCGGCTCCACGTGCTAGGGTGTGAGACTAACAGAAGATGGGACGGGCGGGACCACTTGGTCGGGTTTCTGCGGATCTGATTAGATTATTCTTGGAGTACCCGAGTACGGAGGATGATTTATACATCTCGATTCTCGCAATAGGAATCAGGAAGCAGGAAGTGAAAGGTGAAAGGGGAGGAGCTTGGAAGGGAATGGGGGAATGGGGGAATGGTGAGTGGTAAGAATATTAGGAGGGTATGAGGGACAGGGTTGGGATTACGACGCGATGCAATTCTTTGTTTACTACCTAGATGCTAAGTACTTCCATTCAAAATACTCGAGTACTATGTAATCTACAATCATAGACGAGTTTATATTAAATTAGAACTACGAGTCTTTTATGTTTATAGGTACTAGGTACAAGGAAGAATCCTCCGATAAGGAAATAGCTTTATTTACCTATTCGTATTGATTCTCCCTCTTTTTATAGAAAGAAGAGAGAAAGAGAGAGAAGAATATAGTATAGACTTTCCCTGTATAATACGTCCTCTCCCAATAAACTGATAAAACTAAATACAATCTTCTAGTAACTAAATACCATCTTCAAGTACCCAACCAAACTCCTCACCCCTTCCTCCCCGTCGCAACAACCCCTTCCCACTCCCAAACAATCCCCCCTTCCCATAGCGCCCCCTAAACCACTCCTCCACAATCTCATCCACCTTTAACCCCCAACACCCCCTCTCCTCCTCACTCCACCCCATCTTCAACACCCCAAGCGTCCCCGGCAACAGCGCCACCAAATCCCCCATCCCCTTCCACATCGTACATCCCCTGATCCTCTCCGCCTCTACACCCACAAACCCCCCTTTCTCAAGGTTCGCCTTCGCAGCCTCCGGCGTATCCCACCTCTCCTCGACTTCATTAAAAGCACTCAGGATCTTAGAGATAGGAGGGAGGACAGGCAGACGCGGCTCAGTTGCAAAGGCGCGCCGCATGTCGGCGAGCCAGGGGACGGTGGACCAGGTGGAGGTTGCGATCCAGCCGGTGGGTTGGAGGAGACGGTGGGATTCGCGGATTCCCGCCGTGGGGGAGGGGAGGAGGAAGGGGCCGAAGTTGAAGAGGAGGTGGGTGTATTTGTTTGCTGGGAGGTGGGTGTTTTTTTTGTGTTAACCTCTATATTCATCCAAATATAAAGCATAAAGCATAAAATCCTCCCTACAACACCAACACCCGTTCTCATCTCATATCATGATTTAAAGGAAGAGGAATCTAAGAAAAAGGAATCCAAACCATAGCATCACACCTCACAACCTCCACCACCTCCCCCCAGCCCTCACACTCCACCCTCCCCCTCACAAACTGCACCATCGCCTCCGCGAAATCGGCGCTCGTTACCCTCGCTTTGTTTCTATCGCCAGCTAAGATGTCCATCAATGCTTTCGTCACGACGCCCGTGCCGCATGCTTGATCTAGCATCACGAGTTGCTCACCCGCATACTCGGGATCTGAAAGTGCTTTTTGGAGGCCGGTTAGTTGGAGGAGGACCGCGGCGCAGGGAGCGGTGATGTGCTCGCTTTTTAGGTAGTTTTTTGCGAATGCTGGGTTGTCCCAGAGGAGGGTTTGGGCTTGTGAGACTGGAGGTGGTATGGTGGTTGGGGGGGTGGTCATTGTGTTTTGTTGTTGTTGGGAAATGATGGGGGAGTATCAGAGTTGCTTTGTATTGGAGTTTTGTGAAGACTGAATCTTTTGAGTAGTGTGATATTTTCCATACCTAGCAGCAGATCAAGTCCTTTTGTATTCTCCCTCTGACACTTCTGGCTCTCGAGTTACGTATACGAGATAAGAGTAAATAGAGTCGCCTTCCAAATCAACCAATAAGAATCCCACAAATGTATGCGGGAAGTCGCCGGAAAGTCTCCGAGTAAAAGGTTAGCATTCGACCTCCTTCTATGTACTACCTATACCCTTCTCTTTACTATCCCATCTGCCTGACATGAAACAAAAAAACGGGGCTAACGTGTATGTGTGTTTTAGCGAGGGAGTGTGTATGATAGGCTTTGTTTTGGTGCTGCATTGGGAAGTGAGCCCTTTCAATTTTGGGGTTCCAATAACGAGTGTTAGATATTAGCAGTATAGAATGGATAGTATAGGATGGATAATTTGCTCCTTATGTGTGTTGTTATATGCTAGTTACGCGTGTTTATTGTCATGCAGGAAATAGGGGATGGAGAATAAGCGATAAACGTCGGAGGTAAGGGCGAATTCACGTATAGGATGAGATTACGCGCCCTTGAAGGCTCTTCGTATATGGGTGTTTTGTTATAATTCAAATAATTCACGGGTTTATATTAAGATTAATTAAAATGTTTTATAGGTTATTATAAATATTTAGAGGGAAAATATAGGATTCCCCTCGGTTAATTTATACTAAGTATCTTATGTTATACGCCTATTTCTTTATAGGTACACTTATAAACTTTCGTCTTGTTTATATTATCTTATCTAGCTTATATAATCTTTATCTCTTCGAAGATAGAATAAAATAAAAGAATCTACTTTTCTATAACTATATTTATTAATTCCCCTTCTCCTTCGCGTTCGCTTAGTATTATAAGTTCTAGAGTATTAAGATATGAAAAAAACGTTAGTCTAATAAAATCTAATAAAGTTTAATAGTATTATACTAAGCGTGAACGAATTAGTCGGCTATAGTTTTACTAGTATAAGGTTTAACGTTATTAGTAACTACTCCTAGGGGGTTAGCAGAATAGTAGAATTTAGTAGAAATTAAGGGTATTAGGTATTCTTTTCCTTTTCCTCTTTCCTATCTCTCGAAGAATAGGGTTTCAATCGTTGTTTTATTTTTTGACAGAAAAAGGCGCAAGAGTAAATAATAGAGTCAAATGTGGGTCAAGAATAGGAGGTGTATTATAGGATATGAGGCTATCTACAGTACATGTGGATAAGTGGATACAGGGGTGATCCAAATTCACATGTGAGAATTCCGGTATTCACTGCAAGGGAGATATATCGGGCTTCGGGTTTACAAGTCACATGGCCCTGAAGCTACTATAGAGAAGTCGTCTTTTTGATATTACTCGAGTAGAAGAGCCAAGAAATTACCGCAGTTTGATCTCGCTAATTGTCATTTGGCTCTAGTGATCTCCTGGAGTTTGAAACGGAATAACTGCTATTTTGCTATTGAGGTGCTGTACTTTTGTTTTTTTGTTTTTGTATTCCACCCTTCCTCGGATGTATTTCATGACTAACTTCTCCTTAACATGTTCATTTTCCCTGCACTCCATAACTCCCTGTTCCCAGACTCGTTCAACAAAATACCTGACCGCTGTTCCTGAGCTCCATCTCCCATGTGATATCCAGTAACACGCCATATCCATGTCCATATCTCCCATTCCAATTTTCTTTCAATTCCCAATCCAATGCACATCCCTTCGCCACACCGACAGCATAATCATTTTCCTTGTTTCCTCTGTTTTTCTTGTTTCCCATAAGAATCACATCCAGCTCCCCCAACAAAACCCTAATTACCAAACTCCCCTAAATCGCTCACCCAACCACAAATCCCGACACAAAGGACAATTCTCCTCCTCCCCATCCTCCGGCAGCAAAACCCGACTCAACGTCCTCTTCCCATCGCACGAGCCGGAGGCGTGTTCGTCATAGTGCTTGCAATCCTTGGCGTGGAGGGTTTGTTCGGGGACTTGGTGGTTGCAGTTGCGGTATGTTTTGTAGACCATCTCGCAGTGGCAGGTTGTGGGTTGTGAGTTGTTGTGGAGGTTTGAATCGCGGGAAGTGTTGGTGTGAGAGTTTGTGGTTGAGGGTGAGGTCGTGGTGAGAGATGGGAGTCTGGGAGATGGTGGTGGGGAGATGGAGATTTGAGATGAGGTTGAAGAGTGAGACATTTTTGATGAAGTTTTTCTTGGGGTTTTCTCTGAGGTTTTGTTTGAGGTTTCTGTTGATGGCATGGTGGTTAGTTTGTTGGTTTGAGAATGTGTGTGTGGTTATGCTCCGTAGCGAGATATGTGATGGTGGTAGAACGTTCGAAGACGAGCTTCCAAAGATGTAAAGACATCGAAAGATTCTTGGGGGTTATTATAAGCCGGATATCTGCTCAGGTTTGGTATCTGAGTGAAATGATCGGTGAAGAAATCATACTTGATTTGACTTTGAATCACATCGAATAGTTTGGCTTAGTAAGAAAGAACTCACCAGAATCTGCTCAGCTCCGCTAAATTTAGTTCAGGTCACAACACCGATACTGTATTCACCATCGTCTCCAATTCAAATGAATGATAATGAACAAACACCAATTCATCCTCCCAAAACCAAAGGATACACCATACATATACTCATGACCTACTGAGTCCTCAAAGTCAAACTCGGTCTTCAGCAATAAGTGTTAGATAATTGAATCCATACCACAATCGAACTAATGCAGCAAGTCACCGCCTCGATGTCATCAGGGCCGTATTATTAGTAGTAGTTTTCCCCATGGGGTTAGTGGGGCGACCCTTTCCCCGCATTTTTACGGGAGACTTCAGGGGTGGCTTACATAATACCCGTTGTTGCGTTGGAGGCGTCATGGATTGCACCATCTAATTTTGGTGTTGAGCTGAGAAGGGGGGTTCTTGATTGGAACTCATGTGAGGACTTGGTGGTCTAGACCCGCTGGGTTTGTTGGTTGAGTAAGAGGTGGTTGTTGTGTCACGAACCGTGGCGGGAATGTAACATGGCTCGTGGAACAACAAATTTGCGGAAGCGTCGCTTGGTGTTGGCAGAAAATGACCTCCTTTTTTAGGTAAATATTACGAATCGTTGAGTTCCTTTGAAAGGCATTACTAAAATGTGCTGTGTAGGCCCACTATCAGAAGCCAAGAGGTGTCTTATAGCCTTAAATGATTTTCCAAATGTATACGGCTCTAGTAGGTAACCTGCAGTTGACATTCATGTTATAAATTAAGAAACCCAACTCCACAAAAAAAACCACAAAAAAAACCATCAGCCTGTTATGGTGCGGCTTGGCGCTGTGTTGGTCTAGTTGACCTAGCGTCCGCCTATTAAGCGTTCATTCGTAGTTACAATCTGTGCATCAAGTCTGGAACCGCTGATCTCGGTTGGAGAGCTGTCTTCCGCTTCTTTCGTTGAAGTTTTTTTTTTTCAATCTTTTTTGGTTTTTTGAGCCACAGTTAGGATGCTTTGGAAATTTATGTCTTGACTAGTTATACGTTGCGACATAACCTACTGTAACTACGAGTACTTCAGAATAAATGTCGTGATTATCATAATTTATGTCGCAAAAATGCAAAACAGCAAACTGGACTCTGGAGGAGTGGTAAGATAGACTACGCCAACGATGTTCTTACCCAAAAGAAACAGTTTTAGCAATCATAATATATGTTGCGCATTGAAAGATAATTAAGCATTACTGTTGAAATTTCATAAGATTTGTTGGAAAACGAGAAACTGAATTCTGGTGAAACATAGAGATAGACACTGTCAACTAGATTCGGAACACGGAAGAATCAACTTTCACAAGATTCATGATTTATGCTGCAAATCGAGAGATTTTATTTTAGTGGAATGTCAAAATGCACCTTTTACCGACTGTGTTCCAAGCTGAGCTGCCTGCAATATATATTTCTATGAACATCAGTTGCAAGACTTTCTTGTAAGATATCCGCCTATGACTCTGTACACACTGCAAAGAAATATTATGCTAAAAGTCTGACACAATCAACCATATTGTCCCAGCGTACTTGGGCATGTATGAAGTTATAAATGCTAATTGTTCTTACCCATTTGTATTACTGATTCACGATGTGAAGTTCTAGAATAACATTCTCATGAAATAGGTTTATTCAGAGTAGTGGCCAGTCTGCCAGTACCTTGTGCCATTCACCAGCTACCTCGTGATATGGCGTGCTCAATTTACTGTAGTAGTAGTACAAATAGATAGGGTACTGCCCTACTACATAGCTACCTCTTTCTCATCTACAACCTTGCAACAAGATATGAGACTGGCAGCGAAACAACTATCACTTCAGAGAGGCAATCCTAACCGTCGTCAAGCCATCGTATGTCCCATTCCCTCTTTACTTTCCAAGGTTAACCGAGACCATCGCAGGACGCCAAAATCCACTCTGCCCAGACCGACATCGCCAGATATACCTCGAAGTCTTCCCCCCGAATAGCCGCTACAACCCGCACCAACATTCACCCACACCTACCGCGTACAGAACAACACAACGACAAACCACCACCCAAGAATTACAAATCAGTATTGGATCCATTCCTCTTGCTGTTCCTTCTTTCCATCTCCCGAAGACGATGAAAATCCCGTGAACCCACCAATCCTAATATCTCCCATGGAATTCCCTCGACAAGTTCGAGTGACATGTGTACTCCGGCATCCCCTGCAATTTCGTCGTCCAAACCAACCGTCTTCGTAATAGGCTTCTTTGACTCCCTTGCATGCGCTTGGGGAATCCTCGCTTTCGGGACAGGGTTCTAGGCGGGTGGTTGTGTGGGAGCATGCGTGGTTGGTTTTGTATCGTATGCACATTTCTTGGTCGCTTAGGTGCGGGAGGTATACTTATAGTTGAGAACGACTTCGAGGTATTGGTGTCTTTGGTGTTGAGTGAGTTTCGAGAGTTGAGTGTAAGCTATTATTGGGTTCGAGGTGTTTGGGGAGGCGGACGCCCTGATCTGAATTGATCAGAGGGCGATGCGAAAGAGCCAGGATGACGAGGTATCTTTTGTTATATGATCCGGCTTGGAGATGTAGGCTATCACACTGTAGTTCGTATGTTCTTGGGGGTTGAAAAGATGGTATCTTAAATTCTGAAGACAGCTGTGGTGGAAACGGGTTGGAAGTTTATGGTATAGGATTCTTAACACCAGCTATTCAAGTCGGGGTATAGACAGAATGCGAGCGAGACCGGCGGAGGCGATTTAGAGGAGAGACGTGAAACGCGTGAGCCCTATGGTGTCTATTGTCTTGGGCTATTCACTCCTTGGATGTGGGGGGTTTTGAGGATCATGATGTAGGGACTCGGAGACTCGTATCTTTAACAAGCAGTTCTAGAGGAGGAACTCGGAGCCTAAGAATGTCAAATGACTTTTGCGATGGAAAATAATGAATTGATTTTTTGTGTGATCGTAAGTGTTCCAATCAGATGTAGAGCGATGATTGTCTTCCGTTTGCCCCAGATGACAAACCACATGTTTCACTTATTCACCAATGCTGCTATCAACCTTTGAGTCATGGTTATAGGCTGACACGGAAAATTATTTTGGGACTTTGTATGCTATTTCTAGCAGTAATGAAACTTTATTACTTAACTCCGCTACTTTGGGACTTGATAAGTATTCCTATCATAACCCCCTGAGATTTCTCGCTTAAGGATATCATACTCAAATGTGCTCTTACTTGCATGTATTGAAACCTTTATCTAATCGTATTCCATCAATAAAAGTCTCGACATAGATTCTGTGAATGGAATGACCACCTTTATTAAACCAAACATAGAAACATTCAGAAAAAGCCGAATCTCTACACCGGAGCCCAGCTCCCGTTCCCAGCAAATATAGATCTATCAACACCTCAACGCCTATCCCTTCATGTATTTCAAGCCAGTGAAACCACAATTTCAAATCTCCACATAAGTCCACAAGCCCCCTATCACCGCTTCCGCTTCCAAAAGTTCGACTTCCCAGCTTCCAACTCCCTTTGTCGATGTGCTCTGTAGCAGCGTAGGCATCTCTCACCGCAAACCGTCAGCTCCGATTCCATACCCGTGCTGTGGATTTGGCAATCCAGTCCGTTCTTTACGTATTCGCATGGGATCGTTGGTAGTGGTTCGATGTGCTTGCAGCTGTAGGTTTTGAGAATTTGGATGCACATTTTGAATAAGTGGTACGGGTGAGAAAGTATCAGGAGGGTCCGTGTAGTTTCTGTACGACAATTCTATAGCCCTCGGCCTCTATGAGAACAGTAAGGGACACGGGCTTATTGAGAGGTGGGCTGTGAGGAGGGTTGTGATTCAAGAAAGTGTGGGTTTTGAGATATCTGAGTATCCGAGAAGTACATGATTCAAAGGTTCAATTGATTTGGGTTGTCGATATCGTCTGATATGATTGGTTCACTTGCACAATTTTAAATTGGGCTAAGCCATGCCGGAAGCCATGAAGCCTTTGTAGCCAGAAACATCTTTTCACAACTCCCGAGAGTACCCGTAAGAATGCCCTCGTACTACAGCAGTGAAGTCAACGGATATGTTGTATATAGTAAGTACAGTCGCTATGGGAAGTTGTGGTCCAGCCGTCACTTCAGATGGTAAAATTATGGTAAGCTTGGAAATCGAGCCTTCTAGTAGTTCTCTCTCATGGTGGCACAAAGCTGAAGGCGAGGTAGGAGAGAAGGAACCTCGGTTCCGCATAAACGAGCACTCGTGAGGAACGGGCTGGATGAGGTCTTTTTTCTGGGCCAAAGAGAGTTGGGTTGTGAAGGAAGTAGCCGATATTCGAGGTTAAGGCGCGAGTTCGACCGGATGGGCCACCCTTGACGTTCTCGATGCTACCTAACTTGCTATCTGGAAGCGAGACCTTAGCTCAACTGAGCCTTCGAAGTTGGTAGACTTGCAGATATATGTATCCACTGATCAAAAGATCAGTAGACACAGTTGTATTTATTAGAAGTGGTGCTTTCTATAACTTTCTCCGCTCCCACTGGATATCCCACTATCAAGTTCCTCGTCTAGACCTCACCTAGTTTTTCCCTTCTTTTGCGTGAAAGATACGAGAAATTGGCTTACGAAAAATTCAAGGAGAGCTACTCCTCATTTCTCTTCACATTCTACACCAGTTGTCTTTACTTATGCATCAATTGTGTTCGGAAGAAGGGCAGCAGCCCAACGACTGTTCAGGCCTGAGCTGTTTACAAATGAGCCGACTACCTGGGTACTTTAGGATGTTTTCATTTGATGTTAGCTTCCAAATAGGGTTCGGTACGAGCCCAGGGCAAGAATTCGGATTACCTGGTGGGTTACGATATGGGAGAGGAGGGCAACAGACCAATGGTTATTCAAACTTGGACTGTTTACAAATGTGCCATTTACCCGGGTCCTTCGAAGTAATTCCATTTGACATTAGCTCCAGAAAACACTTTCGGCGCAAGCCAAACCGAGCGGCGACAACAGGGGTTTAGTGGTGAGGGGTGGAGTCGCTTAGGCAATTCTGAGTTTGTGTGTTGAGTAAATCAGACATTCAGTTTGACTATCTATACTTCTTCCAGAAGGTAATTGTAGCCGATAACACAGTCCTAAGTAGGAGTGTGAAAATCAGTCTTAGAACGTGTACATATCAGAAATAAGCAGTTTGCAGTCGTCTTTCGGAACTAGGTAGCGCTGTTGATACAAATTGACACTCTAACTGCATCGCCTTTTTTCCTAAGCCTTTAATGCGAAACACAATCGGCGAATTATGTACCGTCATCCCAGACGTAGAACAAAGAGAAGGATCCCTGAAAGTTGGGAAGACTTTGAGATGAACACCTTAAAACATCAGATTGTTTTTTGATTTGTCCTCCTTTTACTACTAGTTGTATGATTGTATGAGATTGTCTCAACTCTGGGACGAATTACATCATAAATCTTGTACAGTCTCCCTTGCGTTGTTTTCGGAAAAGGCGTATTTTCAGATAAATAGCGGGAGTGTTTTATAAAACCCTCGGCCCCCTCAGACCCACTATTTAGCGGAAACTTAGAAACAAAACACTGCATTGTAAGTAACATAATTTTGGTATAACTTATACCTAAGCTGGATTTACAAAGAATAGTCCATTGAACACCTTGCCGGAGACCACACAAGAGGGACCATTGATTTAGGCACTCATGGGGAATGCTTTGGGCTTTGATAGCGAAATTCTTTTTTACATGCACAGGGCTTTCTGCCTGACTGAATATCTTTCAAACCTCCCGCAATGATAATTGATACAAACAATTACCTCTAGTCCGTTTGACGATCTAATTTGCATGATTTTAAAGCATAAATAATACAACGTGAAAAGTTGAAGTAATCTTGAATACATGATCATCAGAAATGATAGGAGACTCAACCGATCAGAAGATTGCTCCTAGTATTAGGACTAGATTGTAATAGACCAAGAGTATTTTTTAAGGCTTATAAAGCCTGACAACGTGGCTGTAAGTAAATATACCTGCCAGAGAATAGTTCCTCCATTTCACTCCTACTTAGGCAACTAATTCTTAGTGAAACAAGAGCTTGAGCCATTTACCATGGATATAGTGGTTGTGGTGGGCTGGCACTGCAGCATTTAGCCGCCAAACTTTGGTACATGAAGGTTTATCTAGCACCATGTGCCTTTCGAAGTATTCTTCATTTCCCCTTCTTTCCATTCGAACTCGTTGGATTTCCGAATAACCAATAATAGCTTGCAATAATTTTACAATAACATTGGCCGAGGAATATGGGCTACTCTTTGGAACGCAACAATGGTACTCGGGGCAACTGGAAATGCATCCTAATCTGCTTCGCGATGTCGTTGGCCAACTTTCAAACTGGATACGACGGGGCGGCTATTGGCGGGTTCCAAGCCATGGTCGGATTCCTAAAAGTCTACGGATTTCGAGACCCCAAAACGAGGAACGGCTGGAATATCGCGACGTCAACCCAACAACTGATGACCAGTTTCCTTAGTGTTGGAAGTGTCATGGGAGTTCTTCTCACTCCAGCATTTGGAAGACGATTTGGACGAAGACCCGCAGTATGGATTGCATGCGCTGTTACCTTTCTTGCAGCTGCTCTGCAATTGGCAACAACTACCCTTGCTGGACTATATATTGGTCGGATTCTTTTGGGACTCTCGAATGGCTTTCTTGGTGCCTTTTCGAATAGTTATATAACTGAGTCGAGGCCGGTAATCCACCACTTTACTTACCCCAAGCATGGTCCAAAATGGCGTTGTTTCCAGAAGTCACTTTGTGGAATATGGAGTAGAAGGAGACCAACAGACAGAAATGCAGCCCTGCAAGCGCGAGCCCTATTACAGTCATCCGTACAGTCCAAATTCATAAGGCGATACTCTGCTCTAAATACCCGAGGTATCGCATTAATTATGAAGCTTGAAAAAGGGTAACGATATTCGAATACTCTAATTCTTCATGATCAATTTGGTTGCTCCAACTCTTCCAGTATTCATGGTATACTGTAAACGACAATAGGGACACGATGAGTTTTTACGATTCCTACAACGCAAAAGTCTTTCAGAAATGCCCTAGTATCTTTCCATACAGCTACTAATAAATTTCAATAGGCTCACTTACGAGGCAGTCTTGTGTCATTTTTCGGAGTCTGGGTAACCTTTGGCGCTCTAACTGCCGCAATAATCGACAATTACACCAAAGAGTACAAATCAAAGTTATGCTACCAAATCCCTCTAGCTTTGTTTTATGTAGTTCCCACATTTTTATCGATTCTGCTTATATTCGTTCCGGAATCACCTCGCTGGCTCCTCGTCCAGAACCGACCGGACGAAGCTCGAAAGTCGCTTGAGCGTCTTAGGGGTAATTCGCTTGCCCCAGCGCTACTAGAAGAAGAGTTCTTAGAGATGCAAAGAGGGATTGGGGTGGAGCGAAAACTAGCGCAAGGACGACAGTTCTCTGATATGTTCAAAGGAGTGGATTTGCGAAGGAGTACGTTATGTTTGGCGGCCTGTGCCGCGCATGCTGCCTCCGGAATTTGGTTCATTATTTCATATGGTACTTTCTTCTTTCAGGTGATTGGTTACAAAAACCCCTTCCTGGCGTCCATATATACGAAGCTTGGAAGCATGATAGGTGCAATGATTGGCATATATATTTGTTTGAAGTGGATGGGCCGCCGCCCGATGATCATCTTGGGACATGTTATGGGAGCATTCTTCATGCTTGCTTTAGCAGTCTCGAGCTCGGTGGCAACAAATACCGAAGCAGTAGCGACCTCAGCTGTTGCTTGTACGGTATTGTTTAGTTTCTTCTATCACGGTTTGTCGGGTGCTTTGAGTTACGCACTACTGAACGAAATTGTTTCGTCTCGTCTACGGGACACAACCATCGGATTTAGTTGGGCAATTACCCACGTTCTTATCTGTAGGTTTTCTAAGTTCGCCATAATTACTGAATTTTTCTTAATTTTACTAAGGGCTCATTAATTCACGACCCCATACTTCATCAATACAAATGAGCTGAACGTAGGCCCAAAATACGGCTATGTCTGGCTGTCTCCGATACTATTACTGCTAGTAAGTAATTACCAAGACAATTCATGTAATCAGTCCAACTAACAACTGTTAGTATGGTTCTTTTTCTCCCTTCCAGAAGTGAAAGGTCGCACGCTTGAGGAAATCGATGAGTTGTTCCAAAATCGTGTTTCCGTGCGGGATTTCCCAAAATACGAATGCGCTTCTTCAACGGAAGCCAGGGAGGCTGTTATTGGTGAAACCCCTGAAGACTACGATGCTTCGCGAACATATTCACTGAAGGAACTTAGTACCCCTCGCGTAGAGTCATTCAAAGTTTGATACATAAAACTTGGGTTTCAGTGGGAAAGAGCTGACATGGGGGCTTGCCTTGGTTGGAAAAGAAAAGGGGCAGTGATAACACTCGATATTTGAGGACTACTAGGTAGCATAATGGAGGATGGAGGAAGTAGCAGTAACAATATAGAAAGGCAGAAAGCTCAGTAGATTTGAAAATATCAAATTACGTTCCACATATGCCCATACCCAACTCCTTTGCAAAACCAGACCAAACCCTCAATACATTCATGGGAGAGAGTTGCAAATACATTAACTCCATCTAGTCGGTATCATTATTATTCCCTTTCTCCATCCCCATTTACTGTTTCCTTGACTGAGAAATAGTCAAGTAGTACAAATACGCTTGATTCATACTCGTATGCATCTTCCAAAGGACGGTCGGTAGTGTCGTGCCATAACATATGCGACGAGCCTCAAAACATACCACATCGTCCACCCCCACCCCCATCCGCTCACTCCAGGTTGGAGTACAACACTTACAGAAGCGCCGCAATCCCCGCAACCACCAATGCACCCATAACCCCACCCTCTCTCCTCTCCGCTGAACTCTTAGTCCCACTCCCATCACTCTCATCCCCAACATCCGACCCATTAGGATCCCGACATCTTTGCTTTCCATTAACGAGAACACATTCCGTACCTAAGGGACAGTATTTTCCGGTGGTACAGCACTGCGCATCTAGGGGGATACAGTAGCTGACCTGGCAGCAGAGGGAGTTGACGCATTGTCTTCCATCTGTGAGGGTGTTGTTAGCACGGGTATAGAGTGGTGAAATAGAAAGGAATCTGGAGAAGCTTACTGCCACAGAGATCGATTGCTTGTCGTAGTGCGAGAACAGCTACACCGGCGACATTTTGGGAGACGGGTGCGGCTCCATCGAGGGCATCTGTGAAACTTTGCGCGGAAACGAGGGTATGGAGAGAAGCGAGGATGGCGAAGGTAGTTGGTAAACGCATTTTGGTGTTTGGTTTAGTCTTCGTCGTATTTTGAACGTTCCTGAAGATATTGATGTCCCCAAGAAGGTAATTAGTTCGATGACGGGTGAACTGCTTTTTACTTCTTGCAAAAAATAAGAGCTCTTTGAGATATACACAGCAGCGTCGCAAGCATTAAATAACTCTCCCCAATAATCCGAATAGCACCCCTCAGCTCTAGACCCCTAAATCCATACGGTATGCCTTGACTATCAATTCTTATCACTTCTCAGGCCTGGCAAACGGGACAGCCACGAAAAAACGAATTACGCGAGCAAATCGCCAATTGAGTCACTTCGGTGTGCAAAAGATACACAAAAAGCAAGCCATGGCGTCGAGACAGTGAAACCACAGCGACGTGAGACAGCTGAGAGAACGAGAGAAAGGCTCAGAAAGCACTGCGTGCGATGCCAATCTCAGCCGCACACTGTTTTTTTTGGAACTGTGACTGCTACTTTGGGGAAGGAGGCTGCAATTTCCCATATTTACGATCCGAGCTCGTCTACATATTCCACGTTAGAATTTCGATTTTTCAATCCACGGAAAAGATTTTGTTGCGCAGAGAAGGTAAAGACAAAATCTGTACGATATTTATCTACCTATCTTATTAAGTTATATTCCCAGAATCCCCGTCCAAAGAAACCCAAAGCCGCGAAGCAAAATCTAGTCAAATACTGTACCATCACGTGTCCCCCGCAACACAACGCCCTGCATCTCTCCTTACAGGCGGCTGAAAAATATCCGAAACATCGCAGGGTCTGCTCTCGAAATAGCAATATCGATTATTGCAGAAGGGAACGCCACATGCAAGCGACAAAAACCCATCTAGATTTCATCGTCTTGAAGCCTAGAAGAATTATTAGTAACTCAGAGGTTCTGATTGGAACAGGATACGAAGCGAGAGGTTCTTCTGACACCAAAATACCCTCAGGGTAATAAAGATTCTCAAAGTGTACAGCGCGAGGTGGTGAAAATATTTCCCCCCAGAGCATATAGATATACCACGACGCTTGCCAGGTATCAACCATAATACCCCCTTGTAAGTTTACTGAAAACCAACGAAGGAGAACTTGAGATGTAATGGTAGTATTTATCAAAAGCTCGCTCGCTAACACACTATAAAATCAGAAAAAGATGCAACGCCTTCCATGTCGCATGCTAAAAACCCCCATTCTTCGAATAAACTCCAATTTAAATGCCATCGTCCGGAAAAGGTCCCCCAATTTAAGCCCAGTTACCCATCAATGTTCAAACTCCTTTTATATAGATTTCTACGCTCGCTTACCTAGCGTAACCGGTGTGCTGTGCATACCCAGGTTGATTTGGAAAGTAACCCTGCTGTTGAGGAGCACCATAGCCCTGAGGCGATGGGGTTGGTTGATACTGCTGCACTGTAGCTTGAGGATGCATCTTGTAACTCTCCCCGTGATTTTCATTTCCGATACCATCATGACTATCCCCGTGCCCGTGTTTCTTCTCCGGGGGTGGAATGGCATATCTCTGTTCAAAGTGATGGACACCAAGAATTCGAATGAGACGATCGAAGGCGACGATTGCGAAAAGGAATGCACAGATGATGGTTACGATAAATGGCGAGGTGATAAGGGTGGTGAAGGCCTTGGTTTGGAAGATCAAGCATCCGATTCCAACGGAGAGAAAGACAACCGCAAGTCGGAAACCGAGACGAACGTATTCCAGGAAATCGCGCTTCTTGGTTCGGATGATGAAGAGGAATACCAACAACATGAGTAAAGAGACGGTAACAGATCCCCAAAGGTAGGCGTAGGTTGTCTGCATGGTGTGGCCGTAATCGCCCTCAGCGTATTTTTTCCCCTCAGGTGGGTCGATATTGAAACGCTTGTAGATACCTTTAATCAAATAAACGGATATGTTGTACACGTATGAATTCTCGTTTTGAATCTCGCAAAATCCTGGATCATCAGGGGTACCAGCTGGTGTAGTGGTGAGTGTCTCGTTCAGATAGAATTGTATGATATCATAGTTCCGAGGGTCATATGTCTCAATCCTTAACTTCTGAGTTGTTTCGTTGATCTTTTTGACAAAATCGGTTGCCTTCGTCACAGTAGTGTTTGTCAAGCAGAGAGCTGCGACTTCATCGAGGAAGCTCTTTTGTTTTCGAAGTGCATTGAAGAAGATTGCCATTCGGTTGGAACCCTCCACGACACCGACAAGTCCTAAGTGCAGGAAGAAGTGGGACCAGGCCCACCATTGTTGTTTGATGCTACCCATATGAGCTCCGCTACAAATCAAGGTTAGTACAATCTATTTCAAATCCCGAGAACCATATTGGAGATCAGAAGATACGATACAAGGGAGCAGTAGGTGCAAACTTACTGAGGATGATTATCAAAGTACAAAGTCCAAATTAATAGCTGTGAGTAGCCAGTCAGCGATAGACCTTGAAAGGGAACATTGGAGAGATTGACTCACCAGCATGACGATGATAGAAACCATCTCAATCACACCACCAACACTCGGCTTCGAAGTGGTTGGCCATATGAGACCAGCTGTCTTAGTACTCCCAATGACACCTTCGCCAATGATAATCATAGTCAAGAGAGACAATCTTTCCGCCATATGCGACTCCTTGAAACTCAACATCCTCCATATCGACGAGACCACGAGAACCAGAATTGACTCAATGGGTAGAACGATCCACCAAATTTGATGGGCTCTGGAAACTACCTTGTCGTTGAAATGCGAGAACGTCTAGGTAGAGTTAGTCTGGGCACATTTTTGAAATGGGAGATGCGAGTACGAACCGACAAAAGAGCACCCCCAGAGGCGACAAGGGTCGCAATGATCAGTACAAATGGCACCAAGAGATTTTTGTGTTTCCGGACAACAAATACAGCCACGATGGCATATTGCAATGCGAGAAAGAATCTTGAGATTCCCATTACAATGGCCAGGGTTTTGTAAACACGATAACCCTTGACCGACTCATAACTCCCGGGAGCAAAACTAAACCCGACCACTGCAAGCAGAACGAAGAAAATGAATTGAAATAGCTTGCAAAGTCGTTCAAACAGCGAATCAGCCGCAAATCGAACGTCGAAGATGGTGATCTGGAACCAGGTTGACCATAATATCACGAAACTACCAAGAATTAGTCTATGTATCTTTGAGGCAAGCAATTTGTCGCTCATCCGTTTTTTCTGTTACAATAAAGTACCAGTGAATGAAACGCCCAACGTAGCCGAGCCTCAGATCTCCCACAAACCACCAAACTCTGACTTACAAGCCAACATAGGATAGCAACGAGGCACTCGTCGTGATCTCATGATAGGAGGTAAAGGTCGCAAGATTGGCAACGAAGAAAAGGTCGAAGAACAGCTCAATCATACTGGCTTCATGTCGAACGTGGAATGACTTGAACTTCTTGCCCTGAAGGCCTTCTAGTGGGTTGACAACCCATCGCAAAGACTCTTCCTTTCTTGCGTTGTAAAGCTTCCTGTGAAATGTTAGCCATCTCTTCTGCGATGTTCGATGAAGATACCAACTCACCGTGCACTTTTACTCCCTTGTGGTTTATCTGATGGGAGAAAGGGTTTGGAATGCCTCGAATGCGACATTTTGGCAGAGGATTTGACGAACTTGTAGGGACATAGAATAGAAAAAAATGAAGATGTGTCTTGGGAGCTCTATACTTTAAGGGACGCTGGGCGAGGGTATGGAGGTAATTGCGGCTGACGGAATGGTCCACTGGTCGAGGGTGACTGGTGGTTGGTGAGATTGATACGAGATTCACTTGAATAACCTTTTGGCCCCTGATACCCCTGTCAGTTATGGATTCACAACTCCTGGCCCTCAAATTCAGCCACTCAAACAGTTGTGCTCGTACATACTCACGTCAACGAATTTCCCACGTACCCGAGAGAATCAGCCACGTCGTAAAAGACACTCAGATCAAGCGAGCCTGTGCGAAGTTATTTTAGGTCTTTTTGAAAGAAGCAACCCTCTACACCGCCCAATCACTTTTCATAGTTTGTACCGGTCGCCTATCTAGCGAATTGCCCGCAGATCACATTATCTTCAGCAATCGAAACTTTGTTTACAGGACTCACATAGAGTGAACCCCACTTTCTCCATACCAAAACAAAACACCACAAATGCATGCTCAAACATAAAATGGGGCATCGCCAATGCCACAGCCCGCAGCCCTTCTGCGGTAACGCCCAAGTTGGGAAATCTCATTCGAGAATCCTGTCAAAATCCAACCACCAAGTCAGGCAGGGATGCAAACGCAACGCCACGAGGCAACAAGCTTTGCCAATATTGGGCGAAGCTTTCGCCGTCCGTCTCACAACAGCTGAGCAGCCAATCAAGGGCCCTCGCTCCGGACATAGCCACCAAGGATCTTCAGAAATGGGGAGGCCCCGAAAAAGAGCCCACACCGTTGACTGGATGTTGTGAGCGACACATTGCAGTGGATTTCGGGACGTCGTACGTGATTATGGGGATGTTTTCGTTTTCGTTCCAGCTGTCAGCCCCATCGAAAACACCACGGGAATGGTGGACGGGAGACGCAACCGACAGCCGGCGGTGAACCATAACACAATCGTTGAGATTTACTTTTTTAAGACTGAGATCACAAAAAGTCTCATCTTTCTATCATGTAAGATGTGTGGAACAATTGGTTTGGTTTCGCCTGGCTGTGCCCACCAAGCTGACAAGCGCCGCAATCTAGCTGCGACCTAGATGGGTCGGATTTTTGTGGATGGAGCGGCGAGCCTGTAGAGTGATTGTTTCGCTTGTACAAGGAGGATTCAGAAAGGGGGTTATTGGGAATGTGAGGTCGGGAAGGAGCAATTCTAAAACGTGATATTTCTGAGTACGTGAGATATATAGTTTGCAGTTCAGATTGAGTAGCCCTTATGATTCACATCCTCGCTTGAAATCTTGGTTATTGTGGTTGAATAACAGGAATCCCGTGTTTGGATCACAACAACCACTCTGATCACGTGACTCATCGACAAAACATTTCATATCCCAACATGTTAACACCAAAAATCTCTTCCAACCCCTCCATCAAATCCCAAACTTCAAACCCAGAACTCCAATACCAAGATCATAATCATAACCCTCCAAATCAACCTCAACACATCATCTTCTAACAACCTCCGCCTCCTCCACCCCCTCCACCCCCATCACCGCCCCC